GGCTCTGCTGGAGACGCTGGGCAGCCTGGCGAGGGGAAGAACTCTTCGTCGTCATTCCTCGAGGCTAAGGATGTTGGCTACTTCCTTGGCGATGCTGCCTCGCTTGGAACGGAGGATGCTGATACCGATGCCGCTGAGAGAGGCCTCAGCTTGGCTCAGGATGGGGTGGGGGTGTGCAAGGCGATGGAAGTTGGTCACTTGTTGTTATGGCAGATCAGTAAGCTCGATGCTGACATCGCAGCTCAGAAGAAGATGTTGGCCACCGAGCGAGACGAGCTGGAGAAGGAAAAGGAATCTACCGCTAAGCTGGAACTCAACGTGGACTCTCAAGGATCTCTGCTGGCATCATCGGATACTCCTCAAGTCGACCCCCTGGAGGACGCTGAGACACTGCCTGGTCTCTCCTTCCTGGAGACCCAGAGTGGAGCGAGCTCGGCGGCTGCTGCTGCCTCTAGAGCACGACTGAGCTCCTGGCTTCAGAGGTAGTAGTAGTAGTAGTAGTAGTAGTAGTAGTAGTAGTAGTAGTAGTAGTAGTAGTAGTAGTAGTAGTAGTAGTAGTAGTAGTAGGGTAGAGTTGGGTCTACTGCATGCACCCCGGATGGCCTTAGTTGATTATCATACGATGCAGGTTCAGGGCTAAGTTGAACAAGGCTAGGGCGGCGGCCGGCCTTCCTGCACTGCCTGTCAATTCCACGCAGAAGGTGGCTGTGAATAAGGAAGAGAAGAGGGACGAGAGAACTAAGGGAAGCTCCAGCACTGAGATAACGAAATCGAAGGAGAAGGAGTCCCTATTGCAATGGGCCCCTCTCAATTTCGCTGTAAGCTTCAGCTCCCGAACAGTTGACGAGAAATGTTGATTTTCCAAATTTGCCCCCTAAGAAACTAAAAACCCCTTACGTCAGCTATTGTGCGATGGACGTGGCCTCCCTATCTGTCCTTGGTGTCGCAGGAAAGTGAGGATATGCAGAAAGAGAAGAGAGATGTGGCTCGCTTGAAGGAGGAGTTCGCCGAGTCGCTCCAGAAGGTTAAGGACCAGAGTGCTGCTCTACTGGCCGAATCTCAAGCTGATGTGCGCAAATGTTCAAGTTCGCTCACCCCATGCAGTTTTCTCTTAGCTCGAGGCAAACGAGCATATGAAGTCGACGCTGGACGATGGGTCCATCAGTAGTGGCAGCTTCGTTGAGACCTCCAATTACGATCCCCAGAAGGAGGCCGCGGCTATAAAGGAGCTCAACAGGAGGTGG